GTGCCATCGGCAGAACCAACAAGCCATAGGTAAACACTGCTGCCTTCTGCCATCAGCCTTACATCTCCCCTACTAAAATCCTTCCAAAGCAACTTGGTAACAGTCCTCTTCACACTTTTGGTGGGGGGCTGATCCACACTATGTGATTTGAGCCCAACTCTAATACTGACTGGTAAAAACATTTTTGCTGAGAACAACAAGCACTAACACCTTATAGGGGAAGTATGGATTTATAAAAGTCAGCATTTCAAGTGCTGCATTTCAGCATTACTTGGTGAATTTAAGCGTGCAATCCAGTTGGAATTATTGAGCACAGACCTAAACTTAAGGAATATAACAAGAGCATTTGACTCAATTAGGCTGCCCCCTGCCTCCCTTCCAGTTTTTAAACAGAAGTTTATCCTCTGGTGTGTAAATCAATAATACAATAGATGATCCTATTCAGAGTGTTCCAGGAAACTGGTGATATATACCCCATATCCTGGCCTTCAAGGCATAAGGCATGTGACTTGCCCTGTTCATTTCAGTGGAACTCAGTCAGACATCCAAAACACATTGCAATGTCTTGGAGCATGCTATGTGAAACATTAGCCTGGTTGTATACAAAGGTGCAGTAGATTCCCTCAGTTTCTCCAAATTCAGACCTCCGAGCTATGCTGTGCTCTTGATGCATGGTAGAACATGCAGAAATATAAACAGGAGTTAAACTTGAAGGTCCAGTCCTATGGCATATGCATCTTCACATAAAGAACAGCAAGAGTTTATCTGAATACAAATTTCTCTGGTTTAGGGAATTTAAAATCAACTGTATTCAACTGATGCAACATGGAACCTGGATATTATTAAATTGATATAAAACTGGATTACATTTACAAGATTACTTACATTATTTATAATTAATACATCTATATAACTATTTAGAAAGTCATATCACCAGATTTATGTTACCTAAATCAATTAAGAAGAGATTTAAGCTAAATTGACTACTCAGAGTATTGTTGGCACAGGATTCTGTACCACTTAAATTCTCTACTTACTTCAGCTAAACTAGTGAAGATCTGCTTGGGGACAAGGTCCAAATATCAGCCAGTTCAGGTACAAAAAAAGCTAAATAGGACCAGGTCCCACCCAAATGTGAAGGCCCCCAGACTCAGCTTCCCAGCTTAGTTCTCCTTTTTCCACAGACCAAGGTGACAGTCTGTGCAACTGGACCTTGCCCAGAACTCTCAATCCAGAGGAAGGAGGGTTAAAGTTGCTATAAGCCACCTCTTCACCCTTAGCTCTTCTTGAAGCTGGAGAGGTCCTTGCATAATTTAGTCAGCCCTAGAGACCTGTCTGAGTGGCAGCAGCCTTCCAGGGTTGCCACATAGGAACCATAGCACTACTGTGCCTTCCAGACATGCCTCTGTTGCCATCAGTCCCACCATCTCCCCCACTAAGGTCTTTAGTGAGCAACTTTGCAACAGCCCTCCTTATACTTCTGGCAATAGGAGAGTCTTCTGATAGTCATAAACAGGAGTCTACAGAGTACACCCATGCACAAACTCCAGAACACCTCCTGGTAAATACAGGGTGCACTTGTTGATCAGCTCACATCGCCCAGTGCGATATATAAAACATATATAAAATCAATCTGTGCCCTTTTGTTCCTGCACCTGTAACCCACAGGTTTTGGATGGACCATGTTAAGATCCAAAGAAAAGGAACCTGTACCAGAACCTGCAGTTCAAGACAACTTACTTCTGAGAAGCCTACTGAGCAATGTGCACACCCTCCTAATTATTTCTGGGCTTTCTAACTGAGTTGCTCTGGTCTACAGGACACAGAAGATTGAGCTAAAATTTGTGTGACCTCCTGTTTTCTCCCTTTCTTTGGACCTTAACATGGTCCATCCAAAGCCTGTGGGTTACAGGTGCAGGCACAAAGGGGCACAGATTGATTTCATAGATGTTTTATACTGCACTGGGCCCTGTGAGCTGATCAACAGGTGCACCCCGTAGTTGCTGGGAGGTGTTCTGGAATTTCTGCATGGGTTTGCCCATGCAAAAAGATGCCACACAAAAAGTATGAATTTGTACAATGTGAGCTAAATCTATCTCATGTACAGTAAGCGTCTCCGAAAACATGAGGCTGGGGTTTAAACTTGAAAAAATGCTTAGTACCCAACTCTCGTTATCCTCAATGTGCTTTGCAAATATTACCTAGCTGATCTTTGTAATGTTTGTGTGAGTTTGGTGACTCATTCATTTCTCCAGTTTTTGAGATCAGGAGGCTAAGGACACAGAACATGCATCAAGCAAGGAGAGAAGCAGAAGCAGCTGGGGCCACATTCTGCAGCTGCATGTGCACAATTGTGACAAATGGTTCTTTGTTTAATAGAATACTCTTAAAGTAAAAATCAAATTCCTTTACTCATGTTACAAATACCTTTGATTATTAATATTGAAAACATTACAAATAGCCCATGTTTTCCCACATCACTAACATTTTTCTTCTCAACTGAGAGAAGAATTACAGACTAGTATGATTTTACTTTTGCTTCTAGTCACTTTGCAGCTGATTGAACATTCAAGTTCTTATGCACTAGTCCAGTGCTACATTTGGATTGCAGATATTTTTAATTTTGCATTTCTCTTTCCCACAGACTGCAAGGGAACTTTCAAAAGTCCCCACTGGAATTTTTAAAAGTAATGAAAACATCTCTATTGTTAGATTTCAACAGAGCTCCATTTACAGCACCTTTGGTTTGGTCCAAATTTTATTTGGCAAGGTCCCTTTAAACAATTATTTATATTCATTACTTTCCAGACAGACCATCAAGATCTATGTTTTCTAAGAGTAATGGCATATTCCAACGTATACAGTTGGGAGATAACCTCACTTTTTGGCTTCTAAGGCTATTGAAGAATTCAATGTTTTGGTCTCAGTGCTGCATACTGACTTCTTTGGACCAACTGTGCTACACTTCCTTTTTTTTGATCTGTGACTAAACAGTGATAAGGAACTGTATAAATATTGCAGTAGCTTTTTTTATATACAAAAACAGGAACTGGTACAACTGTGTGCATAAGCTGATAATAAATGCAAACTACTTCTGATTTTGAGTTCAAAAGAATCAATTAAGGGTGCATTAAAGCATGCTACCCAGGAGCTAGAATGATTTAAGCTATTAACAATTTATTTTTCAAAGGCATTGGCTCATCTTCAGCACTCAGCTTAATTTAAAGGCTCATTTCAAAAAGTATGCAGTATGTTATCAAGAGAATCCCTATCAAGGCTAGTAACTTCATTTTACCAGATATATTAGCCCATTGTAAAGGGGCTGGAGGTTGGGGTTTTTTTGTAATTTTTTGAGTGACTTTTCCTTACTTTTTCTCATAACAATCCTATCAAAGATTAACATTTCTCTCTCTGTCCTTGCAGTTCCCTTCCTCTCTCTCCAGAATTCAGATGCAAGCTCATTATGGGGGCAACAAAGCACCCTTGAGAATTTCTCTGGCATAAAGATTATGCACAGCAGACCCACATCTTGTGCTTGCATCTCCAATGTAAGTGTCCTAGGAACATGTCTGGGGCTTGGCCAGAATAGTCTATATCATGGCTATACTTCATTGCAGAGTACCTCACCGATTTGACTGGCACCATAGAGTAGCCCAGAATCGCAGAGGTTTAGGACAAGTAGATAGCTACCTTCTTATATATCCCCTAACCCAGGGGCAGGCAATTATTTTGGGCGGAGGGCTGTTCACTGAGTTTTGGCAAGCCATCAAGGGCCACATGATAGGCAGCCAGGGGCAGATAAATATTAATTTTCTAAATTTTTTAGGGGGCCCACAGGCCAGATAGAATGGCCTGGCAGGCCGCATCCAGCCCCCAAGCCGCATTTTGCCCACCCCTGCCCTAACCTGTATTCTGCTGTCCTTCCTAACTGGCACAGCTTGGAATTGGGTCCCGACTGTTAAAGGGGTGCTCATAAATAATGAAATTCATCCCAACACACATGCACAGACACATACACAAATAAGAGTTATGTGGCCACTGCCAACAGACATAAGAAAAAAGCACTGGGCTTTTCTGGTGCAGTGTCTTCTCGAGCAAATACTTGGATAATTCATACTAAAAAGGACTGACTAGTACCATCCATTCACTGAATCTGCAGAGGGAGTTAAAAACCTCCAGAGATAACACAGTGTTTCACAGTTAACAGCCTGAGGGAACCATGACCTCTACTCAACCCTGTCAATATGGCACTTTTCTATTACTGACAATGGCCAAGCCCAGAGGTTTACTATTTGGAAACAAGGTATTCATCATTTGCACATCTAAAGCTTAGGGACTAAAGACGCAAGTCCACTAGAAATGAGTTGTGTTTCATATCAGGTAGCAGGTACAGTTCCCCTCAGACTCTTCTCTGAATCATGCTTGACTGCTGCTGGTAGAAACCAGTGTTGCATATCTAATAAGGAATTCAAGGTAGACGCCTCAACAAAAGCAGAACCAATCACAGTTTCAGAATTGGGGGTTGAACACTGGGACTATATTGGAGGGTAGATATACCTCAGCTAACTTTATACTAGTTAGCTTGAGGGCCAGGAATCATTTAGCTGAAGGATCTCAGTGAGGGCTAATTTGCTAATCTTTTCAGGTGGGTTTTGCAGCTTGCACTAAGCTCCATGCTGCCATTGCAACGTTCTCTCCGTATTTAAACCAGCAAGCTTAAAGTCAGCTCCACAGGTCGCTACTGCAGTGTGACTTCAGCACAGATCTACACATAATGATCTCTTCTACACCCAAAACAAAGAGGAGGGGAAGCATCAGGGTCCAGGGGTTACATTTGAACACAGCACATTATCTAGAATAGGCACAACTTAATGTAATGAGCATGTATTTCAGAATTTTGCCTGAGACATATAGAAGAATCTGAAGAGATTAGCCCACATGTGGGGATTCACACAAAAATTAGCATTTGAACTTTTTATGGTGTAGTTTAACATGCTTACCTGGTGACTTGAGTCCGCGTGCCAAAATCCAGAGACCTCATTGATTGCAGAACTTCAATGCAACCCATGTACTAGAGTAAAAGATTGAGAAAGAATCCACAGCTCATTAGAACATCTGAGAGGAAGAGAAATTCAGCTCAGGATGCAAATGTAATTTAGACTTTTGAAATATATTACCGTAAATCTCTGCAGACCCAGGTTTATAATCTGTTTATCAAATGTTCTTTATTTAATTGAAAACTACATAGAATTATAACAAAGAAAACTGTAAACAACATAACATTAAAAAGAAACAAAGCAGTTTAAACACAGACAAATTTGAAACTCCACCCTGTCCACACCACAGCTGATCCTTGCTGGCCATCCTATTTGGGTTTGTGACATGCACTAGGTTGACCACTGTTCCAGCAGGGCATTTGAGCATGGGGGCAAAATCCACCTCTTAGCAGAAGGTACATTCTGCAGAAGTCTTATGTTATACCCATGTGCTCAGAGCAGCAATACACTTCACTCCAAATAGGGCAGAATGGAAAAAGCATAGCTTTGGGCAAGAGGAGGATCCATTGGATCCATAACTAGGTAAGATTAAATGGTTGGCAGCCTCTGTACATGGTGAGCAAATGCTGCTGTTTCAGCCCACAGCAGCTGTAAAGTTACTGTACTCTTGGGCTAGGGACAGACATTCAAAAAGCCTGAGCCTGAATTGATTCAATCTTTGCAGGTTAGTCTAACCTGGCTAGGCTGAACCAGTTTGTAACCGTGCAGACATCCTCTCTGGACTGAAGAAATGCAGGCACATGCCTGCAGTGACTCAGGCTAGAAGTGGGAGGGAAGAAGGGGGCACTAGAGCAGTACTCCCTTCCGTTCCACGCCTAGCAGGGGGGGCGTGGCCAGACCCTGACAGGACATTCTGATTAGGGAAGTGTTCCTCCCATTCCCACCCCCACCCCACCAAGTGAGGGAGCCAGCAGGGAGTTACAAAGCATTGAGTTATATGGCAGGGAGTTACACAGGGAGGTGATGTCATTTATCAGCCCATCCAGAAAACGAGAGCCATTCTCATTAGTTCAAGCTCTTCCTAAACAACTTTTTCCAAAGAAGAAACAGAGGGACATTACCAGCTACCTGTTGATTATCTCCAAAAATCCCTAAGCCAACACTGCTGTCTGCCTTTGTCCTGTCTGCCTTACACAGACACCTCTCAGCATTAGCTAGTATACCACATGCTGGCTATGGTCTGTGCTGGAGGAGAGAGGAGGGAGGAATCCCTACTTGATCAGCAGGTAGTGAGCAGGGGTGGGGCAGAAGAAAGCCAGGCAACCCCTGCTGTGCTGGCAAGTCTGTGCCAGAGCTCCAGCCAGGGAGCAGAGGGGAGGGGCCAGTCCTGCTGGGCAGGAGTAGAGAACATGCCAGGATGCTGGGTGAATCTGGTTTAACTTAAACCAGCAAGGGATCTGGGACAGACATTGCATAGACCGGTTTGACACAAATCAGTTAAGTCTGATACTACGTTCAACCAGGTTTATCTCAAACTGGTTTTAGCCACTTTCAAACTGATTTATGTGCACTGAATGTCTGTTCTGTTATGGGTTTAAACCAGTTTCTGATCACTTAAACTGGTTTATGTGTAGTGTCTGTTCCTAGCCTTGACCAACAGCCTGTCCTTTTATTAGACAATGAAAGCCTTACCTCCAATTCACAGGGTACATTTGACTTCTACACATAAGCACATTCACCTTGGTTTTGTACAGGGGAAAGAGATGAAACAAAGAACAGCAATGATCACAGTTTATCTGGAATCCTAGGACGTGTTGGCTCAGGGCTTACTCTGGTGTCTCTGTACATACCCAGGCACATTTCTAGCTCAGTACAATATCTATATAAAAGCTACTCACTGGTATTACCTTTACCCCAAACACACTGTGTTTCCTTGGTGTTTCTATTGCCATTCACGTCCCTGCTAGTGAAATACCTGCTCTTGTTCCTTGTTCTGTGCTGACAGTGGAGCACTTATTTATACATCTGAATGCAGTGTATTTATTTTTCTATGTTTGTGAACCGGGGTGTTCTGAGTATTGGGGTGTTCAAAGTAGTTTCTGTTCAGATTTAGTTAAGCTACAAAAACATCTAAAAAACACGGAAAGAAAAGAATATGTGCCTCTAACTTCATAGTCCTGTAGGACTTCTTTAGCAATTATTACTATCACTGTTTAGATTCTTTTCCAAATAGCAATGGTAAGCCTTGGGTGTTTTCCAAAATTAGGTAAGTGTTCTGGAAAGACACCAGTAATACTCTTCAGTTTGGCAGATCTGCTTCCTTAATGAACATTTTATGAGTTTCAAAGGACATTGATAGCTACTTGTTAAAGATATTTCTGTTCACTGGGAACCAAGGTATATTTAGCAAGTATGGAAAATACATGCAGAGCCTCAGTTCAGAACCTGGCAGACCTCTGATCCTGCAGTAAGGTCAAACGTTTCGTGAGCTGGCTGGCTACATCCTGCTATCTTTGATAAAATCAATGAAAGATTCAAAAGAGGTGAGTCATATGCTGATATCATATGATGATGAGTAAGTTCACCCTTGCATCCTGAACATCCGTGTGGGAAGCACCTCTTAGCGAAGATGAAAAATCAATACAGTTTGGGGCAGGGAGGTGTTGCATAAAATTCCCAGAGAGAAGCCGATCTTATCTGTGATTCACAAAAGACCATTTTTTACTTAAAAGCCTAAGTATTAATATGTCAACTTCTCCAGTCTCCTGTTTTGTTTACTGTGATCCAAAACCACATGATTAGTAAAGGCTGAATCTCAGAATCTCACGAGAAGAGGAGCAGGAGGAGATAGTAGCCAGGGAAAACAGTGTAGAGTGGAAGTGAGGGTAGTAAATGTTTGTGCTGTGGTATTCAAGAGCTGTCCCTGAAACTCAGCTGAACCATCATAAGGGACTAATGGGAGATCAGCACCCCCATTAAACAAAGCCTAGAGCAAGTACTGACTTGTCCTCTGCTGTAGCTGTAAAAACTGGTGGCCTGTTTTGTGCATGGGTGAAGGAGTTAAGAGATCAAAGGAACACACTTAAAAGAAAGGCAAACCTTTATGCACATGTTTTCACTGCAGAGATAGCCTGGGTTTTTACGCAAGTGTGGCCCCTGATTTTCACCTTACACGCACACCATGCCATTTGCTAAGTAAAGCAGTGCCTATCTGGTGTGGGCTGGAGTCTGGACTCCAGTTCCATGTGGTTACCCATTTGCTTTGCACTCAGTCTGAATGTTGGCAGTCCTTCAAGGGGTAGTCCTTCAATGCCTTCTCACAGGTCCCCGACACAAATCACAGAGCTGGGGACATGCCCTCAGAAGTCCTAGCACAGGGAAAATAAAGCATTGGTGGAGAAAGATTCACTAGGATGTGGCTTTATAGTGCATTTGGATATTTTTGCAGTGACTCAAGTTGGGAGATGGAAGCACTAGCTTGATGACGTATCAGTATGGAAATATTTGGGCTGGCAGAAGGTTTATTCAGGCTCATATTTTTATTTTAAAATAAGGCAGAGGGGAGAGAAGTCCTCACAGCAGCTGGGATAAGTAATGTCCTAGACTTTTATTTTTTGGAGTCAAAAAGAGTTTTATCAAGCCCTTGAGAGTATGGCATCCTAACCACAACATTATTACACTAGTGTGATAAAAGTAGTACAAATAGCAATGTTGGGTTTATTCTTCCCTGTGTTATAATATGCCCTTGCATATGAGACTCATGAAAAAATAGGTAAAATGCTCGAAGTTGGCTAGAGAAAGGACATTCATTTAAACAGTAGCCAGGGGCACAGTTTGAAATAGTGATTTACAGTCTTCCTGCTACAGCACAAATTCACAATAAATCCGTGAAATGCCCTTCCTCAAGTCTGTCTGCCTCTGGCCAAGATCACCCTGCAGCTGAAGAAGGCAATACTGAACACTAGCAAAATATCTGGCTTACAGATGCATTTGTTGTCATGATAAGGTCCACAAATTCCCTAGGTCAGATATGTGTCCACAAATTGTCAAGACAACATGCACTTTAGAAGATGTTCTGGACCTCTCTGAGAAAGAGACTGAATATAACAACATCCATGAGAGAATATCCACCTTTTCCAACTGGTCAAGAGACTCCTTTACAGCCTCGTAAGATTATATTACAGATAATCACCTATTATCAATCATGTGTGCCTTTGTCACCTCCTACTTGCATTTTGGCAATGCATTTTCTTTTCATTTAAAAGTATAACCCCTGTGAAAACTACAGTTGCTGCAGAATGTGGCTGTGCATTTCCTCAACTTTCCAAGTTGCTGAAAGCATGTTGCTCTCATACTACATTCTGTCCAGAGGCCCAATGTACAGAATTGTTTTCAAACTTAAGGGCTTTGTACGTCAGTACTGTAAATGGTGACAGCCATTAGTCGGGGTGCTTAAGGCACAACTGGAATCCCCTCAGTGGTATGGGCAGAATTAGAACTCATATAGAATAGCTTTAATGCCAATGCTGCCCTCCTTTGAGCTTCCAGCTTCAGCATACATTTCAAGACTAAAGGCACCATTTATTTAGAAAGATACAATTGTACAGAAAAGAGCACAGGTACAAATTTAAATGCAGCCAATAAGCACTTGAATTTGGTAAAAATTGATAGCTTTTTGGATGCCTCTGAAGACAAAAAAAATGATCTTGCTCCAGGAAATAGTTGCTTGCCACAGCTGGGAATAATGGGTTTTCTCCTTAGCAGTCTCAGTAGCATGAACATGGAGAATGAGCTACTCTCCTCCCACTCATAACTAGAGGTGGTTCTTCCAGAACAGGGTGAAACATTGCCAGGGCACTAAGGGAATTTGCTGAAACTATACTGTGGACACAAGAATCCAGTTCCCAGGCCTATTAAATAGTAGCACTAACCAGCATTCTTTAATGTGTCATCTGTATTTTATATGGAAACAGTTTGTTAGTTGTCCTGTGTGACACCCTTCCTTAGTGGGGCCTCAGTTACCTTCTTCTACAATGTTCCTAACACTCATTTTCTCATTCATAGACTGAGGATC